CATGCCAAGAAGTGTCGGAAATTTTTCGTTCAACTTTTCAGCTCTTTCGGAAGAGAATTTGGAAGGGAACCTGTTTCTGAATACAGATTTTTTTAATAATCACTTTCTCCCTGAACTAGTGAAACTGATTTTAAACAAATGTGTCTCAGCATCCAGGGAGCAGGGGCACGGGTCACTACGAACCTGGGTGACGGCCTCACCCAGGAAGAAAAGAAACTGTCGCTTCATGTGGCGGCACCAGCACCCACACTGCTGAAGTCAAACCCCGCAGCCGCTCATCTCCGCCCCCCACAGCCCCTCACGGCTGACCGGGGATGTCCTGCCAACCCCGTTGGGGTCTGGTCTCTTCCTGTCTTTCATGCGGACCTGCCCTAGTTGAGGTCACCCCATCTCTGTGGAGACCACTGCACCCTCACTTTCACCACAGGCTACTCACATGCCTCACGACTGAGCCTCTAGGTGGAGTCTGTCCTTCCAACCACCCTCCCTCTTCCAGAATGTTCTAACCTCCATGACCACCTCCTTGTCATCATCTTCTCTCAGGAGTCCCAACTATATAGCCCCAGAAAGTATTCAGTATAATAGCCCAGTGTTATTTCTGTACCTTGAACTCAAAGGCCACCTCCTCCAGGAAGGCTTCTCTGACTTTCTCTTTTGGAGTATGATTTTATAAGGTGTTTTCCCACTGACCATTGTGCTTTCCAAACCAAAATTCAGTTTGTGTGTGAGATCTTTCTGGAGCAAACATGCTTTGGGAGAGAAAAAAAAAATGAATTTGAAATGTGTCTGGAAAGTCTGGGTTATGTGATTGCTAGATTGTTCTTCAGTCAACTAAGTGTGACAAAATGGAGCCAGGCAGACCTGCTTATCCTCTCAACTACCGGGCACCACCACAGAGCTTCAAATTTACCATCTGGGGAATGAGGATAACAGTGTTGTCATCGGGGGTGCTTGGGAGGAGGAAGAGGAGCAGGAGTCACCAAGCTCGTGAGTGAAAATGACAGACCCAGTCAGTGCTAGACAATAAACCCTCTGGTCAGTCCATGAGTGTCTCCCCTGAGTCCCCTCCATCCTCGATGTTCCTGTGATGGGAGCGCAGGGGAAAGCCCCTCCACCGGACCTGAGAATTTCTGTCATCACCATGTAGCCATTTTCCCCTTTTATGGAAAGCAGATGGTATTAACAGATTGTAGCTATTGTCTCTTGTTCTTAAGCAAGGTACACAAGGATCTGCGTGTCCCCTTCAGAAAACAGGCTCTATCGCTGCCACGGGAACATGTGAGGTCCGCAAATACCCTCAGAGTTCCTCTGTGTTTAGAAGTCAAGCTTGCTTGGTGTATCAGTTAGGAGTGCGTTCAACCTAATGTGACTGAAAAACCAAAATAACAGTGACTCAAATGCAAGAAAAATTTCTCTTTCGCAATAAGGAGATCCAGAAATAGGACATACAGAGTTGACATGGAGGCACAGGACCATCCAAAGCCCACATATGCCTTTCTCACATATGCCTTCTCCATCACAAAGTTGTGACCCTTCTGATCTCAAGTGGCTGCTAGGGCTCCGGCCATCACATCTGTGTTCCAGACAGCAGGACAGAGGAAGGATGGGACAAGAGCAGGCTCTCAACTTTTGGAGCTGAATTTCAGAGAGTGCCACAGGACACTTCTGTTTCTACTTCATTCATCATAAATTATTTACTTAGCTGCACAGGAAACTAGAAGCAGTCTTTTGGATGGGTAATGATGCGTGTGAGCAAAATATCAAGGTGCTGGGGTACTAAATACACATCTAAGGTCAACCAGCTTCCAAGCACTTCTGAAGGAAAAGCATGGTGAGGAGCAAGAGGTCTTTCCAGGTGACCTTGGGTTTCTTGGGACATTGCTGGGTCACAGACTGATTCAGCCACATGGCATAAAAAAGGATCTAAAAAGCTTTAACTGGGAGTCCCAGCGAATCTATTGGGTCGGCCCTTCTCTAGAGGCTGCGCTAAAGAACTCTGGCCTCCAGGGGGAGTGTCTGAGTCGGGTTTCAGCGGTGACCCAGAGCCGGGAGTTCTTGGATGACTTTTCACTCCACAACCCCGGGAGATGAGCGGCTCTGAGTCTGATTACTTGGACTGTGAAAACATATATGTGTTAATTTTGTATCCCAAGCTGCCGAGAGAGAAAGGATCCATTGCACGTGGAAATGCTCAGGGGCCCGGGTTCCCTTTCTCTGGGGAATCCTCCGGAGGGGTGCTGGGGCGAGCGGGGCCCGTCACAGTCTGCACGCCACCAGCACAGCACGCTTACCCCACCCGGAGGAGGACACGCCGTGAAGCACAGACGGGCGGGCACACACGTGCACAGGTGCACACCCCACACACATACACGCACACATGTGCACACACGTCCTTGTGAGCACACACCCACACACATGTGCATGTGTGCACATATAGCCTCCCTTTATGCATGAGCAGTGAGGCCAGAGAGGGAAGGACTGGGCCTTGACCAAGTTGGCACTGGATGGGATCTTATCAGGAGATAACCCGTGGGGAGATACCGTGAGCGGGGTGCCTGAGAGCTGCCAGCACCAGTGCCACGTGACAGGAAGACGGCAGGAGAGGGATCTCCCGAAAGGCAGAGAAACCAGACTCCAAGGAAGGGGGGCCATCAAGGCTCCCAGTGACTCACACCCTGTGGCTCACCCTGATGCCCCGGAGGGCAGTGAATGGGGCAGCCTGTACCCTGTGCCCACCTCCATGTCCTTGTCCGCTAAATGAAGCTGCAAGTCCCGTCCTGACTGGCAGGCTGATCGTAAGGGTACAGGCATGATGCTCTACCGACTGCCAGGTGCTGAGCGCCATGCACAGGTGGGCAGTTTTTTTATTTTATTTTTAGTTGATTGGCTGGAGAATCAAAAGACTAAAGACACCAGACTTGGATCCTGCTCCCTGGGCTGAGCCCTTTCTCTCTGCCTCTCATTGTGCCAGAGGGCAGGCCCACTGGTGACCCCACGGGTGACCCCTGGTGACCCCACTCTATGGCCACTTGTCCTCATGTCTTGTCTCTTCTCTAAACCAGGTGTGGCCTCACCTGAGCCTCTAGTGCCCAGGAGGCAGGCAGGGCTGGCCTGGACTCCCCAGTGCCACGTTCCGGAGGCTGCCTATAGGGGGAGCCTGCCCAGGGCGTGTCCCCCCACGCACGTGTGCAGGGAGTGAGAGGCAGGAGGGACTGCTGGGGGCAGTACGTGCACCGCCCACTGAGTCCTTGACTCTAAGAGCCACGCAGATGAGAAAGTGTCTCCCCCGGGGGCATCGGCCTTGCTCATCCTGCTCCAGCGCAAGCTGCCTCCATCATGGCTGCCTTGGGTTTGACCCTTTCTTGTCGAAGGCCATGAGAAGTGCACCCCCTGCCATCTGTCCTTTGGACTCTGTCGCCTATTTAAGCAGGTGATTTTTTTTAATTCTTGAGGATTATCCTCTAGGGGTATAAAGGTTTTGTAGAATACTGTGCAATTGCACTGGGGCGCCATAACATTTTGTATCAGCCTGTGGGGTCAGGTGGGGTTCACGGCATGGTCTGGGTAAGTGGGGCCCCCACAAGCCCTGAGTTCTGAGACAGCCACTCATCAGTTGGGGGAGATTCCCGTGGGTCTTGGGTGGAATGATAAGGCAACCGAAGGACCAGGTTTGGGGATGTGGCTAGGGCAATGGGCGCGGGTGACAAGGTCCAGGGCAGCACCCAGGGGAGAGCAGCGAGTGGCGGTCCCCAGATCTAAAGCAGGTCTGAGTGGGGCTCTGTGAGGAGGAGGGGCTGGCTGAGCCTCCCTAGAAGATGACTCAGGAAGGGTGCCCCCCGCTTCAGGGAGCCTGACTGGCTGACACTGAGGCTAAGGCAGAGCAGTGAGGTCCAAGTTCCAGGGGACACAGTTGGGCAGAGGCCCCCCAGAGTCCTCAGGGGCCACACAGGGGCCACACACACCTTTAGAAAATGCACCTGAATCTGCTTGGTTAAGTACATAAAGGGGAGACAATGTTTTCGGTACCCCTGAAACGTTCTTCGTTCTTTCTTTCCTGCTGCGCCCCACGGCGGGGTCTCCCCACCTCCTCCCAGCCCTTCCTGCCCCGGAGCTGGACTCTGCAGAGACCGCACTGCCGGGTGGGCTGGAGACTCCAAGACCCCCCTCCCTCCCGGCAAAGGCAGTCGTGGGATCAGGGAATTATCCAGGTTCAAAGGGACAGAATAGAGATTTGATTTTAACCCCTGCCCCAGCCTCGCGCCTGGCCGCTCCAGCACCCACTAGCACTTTTACACATCTTTGGTTAAAAGTCCCGAGAGCAAAGCAATGCAAACCTTAAATTTTATTTCAAATGCTTTTTTCCCCAAGAACATGGGGTTCCTGGCGGGAGTAAGGGTGGCTTACATCAAAAGACTGATCTTTGTGGCTAACCCCCTAATGGATAGTGGGGTCTGGAAAGCAGGGGCCTCAGCTTCATTGGCCCCAAGCATCACAAAGCACAAGTCCTCAATGGTTGGCGAAAGCCCCAAGGATATACTCATTTAACAGACAATGCGGGGCCCATACCCCACTGTTCCTGCTCCTGCCCACTAATGCAGGCCCACAGCTCCCCAGCCACCTCTACACACACGCCCCAGTCCAAGTATTGGGGTCACCCTTCGAAAGGTGTGATGCAGGCTTAAGCGCAAGACCAAAGCCATGGGGCGGTCATGGGGTCTGCCCACCTTTCCCCTCTGGGGCCACCCTTAGCCCCCACCCCCATTTCACACTCCTGCCCTCCCTGGCACCACTACCTGCTCCACCCCCACCCCAGGGCCAGGAGCGGTCAAGGCTCCCCCGGCTCCTCAAAGACCTCTGGGTGGAGGTGGGGAGAAGAGCCCACCACTTCCTGTTCCCTACCCGCCCCCGGGGGGAGGTTTCGAACCCAGTTCCCATCTGCATTCCTGGTTTTCTGAGCTCACGAGTCTGAATGCATAAAATTTATATTTTCACTAGTTTATTCATCCAAAGTTCCAGTGGGAAACAAGAGCCACCGAGCTGCATCCCTGCCTTCATTGCTCCAGGTGCTTTATGCAAACAAATTAGACAGACTGGTGATTTCTAGAACCCAGTCAGGTAAGGGAACCAAACACAGCAGGAACCAGCGCAGTGAACCTCCCTATAAATCATTAGAGAGAGAGTAATGAGCTCAGCCCTGCAGGTCACATGACTTCTGTCAGTGTCACTTACCTCTGAGATAACATGTCTGTGGTGGGGGGTGTGCCAATAAAACTTTATAGAAACAGGCGGTGGCCGGAGTTGGCCCTCAAGCTGTGGTTTGCTAGCCCTCGGCTCAGGTCAGATTAGTTGCTGCTATAAACAACTCAAGAACGTCCTGACAGAAGTTTGTACTTACTACAACTGGCATTCCGGTCCGCAGGTAGCTGTCCCCTAAGCTGTGATTCAGGCCTGGACCCCTGCACCTGCGGCTCTACCTCTTCCACATGAGCATCCCAGGTTGCTTGAGAAGCCGAGAAAGGGCAGGTGGGGGAGGGAGACCTGCCTCTCAGGCTCAGGATGGGGTACACCACATCCCCAGTGCCGAGGAAGGGAGCTGGGAGATGGCACCACCACCACCAGACTCCACGCAGAGGCAGACAGGTAACAGGGAAGTTAACAGTAGTTAAAGGCCCAAAGAAATCCTGATTACGTCCAGAAAGGACTGGGTTTGGAAGTCATTGGTGTCTGTCTTTCTTAGCAGGAAGGTGAAAGGACTTTCTTAACTGAGAGATGAGAGGCAGGAGAGCCAGAGGGAGGTGGCACAGGCAGCTTCATGGCTATGTCCCCGAGAACCGAAGGTGAGTGGACGTAAGGAGGTGCGTGTCACCGAAAGGTGATCCCCATGGCCAGGAGTGGGGGGCGGCTGGAGAGGAGCAAGACTGGAAGCCAGGAAATCAAAGCATTATTTCAAGCAGGAAACAAGAGGGAAAGTTCTAGATCATTCTAAAATATCACGCTGCAAAACTTGCTAATGGGGTTGTAGGCATGCAGATTTCTTGGTTAGGTAATGGGATAGGTGATGGGGACCTTCACTGAGATCAGAGAGCCAAATGGAGATTTGGGGAGAGAGGATGAGCTTTGGAGATGTTCTGAATTTTTTGGTGTGGGGAGGAAAGCCCACCCAGGCTGGGCCCAGTGGGCTGCCAGCCGAGATCCTTAAAATCATTTCACAGACTGAGCCTGCAGGAGAGAACCGTGGCACTGTCTGCAAAGAGATCAACTGAGGCCCAGCACAGAGGACAGGCCACAATTTACATCAGAGAATATTGATTTCAAACAGGTGGAAGATGGGAGCCAGCGAGGGGAGACAGGACGTGGACAGCCATTCATCAGGGGCTGTGGATCAGTGAGACCAGATGTTGCTGCACAAAAAATGCCAAGAATGTCCTAATTTATCTGGCAGACAAGCCGAGCAGGCTGAGGTCGGGGCAGGCAGGCTGGAGCAGCAGGCGCCTGGGAGCTCTGGGGCAGGTGGGGTGGAGGATGTGCCTGCTCACCCACTGATGTCAGGCCATGTCAGCCTCACGCTCTGGAGATGCCTGGACCCAGGGCAGAGATGCGCCAGGAAAAGCAACAACATCTGGATCCCAAAGTCTCCAAATCTGGCCTCTGGGGGCAGCTGGGGTGACCCCAGCATTCTGAAGCCCTGTCTTCTGGTGTGCTTGAGACTGAAAAGCCAGTGTTGGTATTTCCGGGCTCCGGGGTCCACCCAGCTGCTGGGGAGGCCCATCCATGTTGCTGAGCCCCCCATCCCGGGCAGCAGGGAAGGCTCCAGCCCGGGTGTACAGGAGGAGGCTGAGGGGCAGGGAAGGAAGAAGGCATGTGCCAGCCCCCTCTGCCTGGACCCAGCTAAACCCACAGCCACACAAACACTGAAGTTAGGACAGGGAATCAAGTAAGTCTCTGTTCTAAAGTGCTAGACTGTCTCTCCTCCATTAAAGCCCACTTGGGACTCCCCAACCAAAGTTCACTCCACTAAGCTGACCATTCCCCAGGCAGGGGTTTGTGGGAGAGGGTGTCTGTTTTACACCCACAGTGCTACCCACTCTTTCTTTCTGAACACAATGGAAACCAAAGCTTGCAGTCACCGTCACTCACAGCAAGGTCCTGGAAGCATCTTGGAAAAGCAAGATGGCTCACCATGTGGGGCCGGGATTCGGACAGAACCTGCAACACCGTGAGGAGCAACCACAGCAGTGAGCTGGGGTCCTCTTGGCTCAGCAGTGGACTGCTGGCCCACTACAAGCACCTGGACCGAGTGGGCGTTGTCCCTGCCTTTCCAGGACAGTTCGCCCTGCAGAACATTACAGCACAGCAACAGAAAGAAGGCTAACAATGCTGACTGTCGATAGATAAAGAAAAAGCGTTTGACAGAATACAACCTCCTTTCAAGATAAAAACCCTTAACACACAGGTATAGAAGGTACACACCTCAGTACAATAAAACTCACATACAGCAAGTCATAGCTAAAATCCCACAATAGTGAAAGACCAACCCACTCCACAGAGTGTCTGAAGTCCTCGCCCAAGCAATCAGGCAAGAAAAATAAATAGAAGGCACCCGCATTGGAAAGGAAGAAGAAAAAGCGTCACTATTTGCAGGCAATGTCACTTAATATGTAGAAAATCCAAAATTCTCCTCCAAAAAACTGTGGAAGTAACCCACCAGTACAGTATGGCTACTGCAAGATATAAATTCAGCCTGCAGAAGTCAGACATTCCTACACATTAAGCCACAAGATCTGGAAACGAAATAAAGCATCCCCTTCACCATCATGTCAACACAATAAAACACACGGGAATGGATTTTTAAAAAGAAGTGAAAGATCTGTACAAAGAAAACTATAAGGCTCTGATGAAGGAACTTGAGGAAGACACACACAGACGGAAAGCAGGCCAGAGCCTGCAGGCGGGAAGAGCGAAGAGCATTAAAATATCCACCCCCCACCCCCCGCCAGGCGTCCACGGTGTCAGCACGCTCCTATCAGAAGCCCAACTGGACCAGCTACACCTTGCAGGGGGCCTCACCAAGGCAGTGAGCCCCTCCTGCCCTGGGGGCCCCATAACAAGGGCATTGGCCCCCCAAGAGCTCTGTGGGACAGTGTTTGAGCACACCACCCATGTGAGGAGAGAGCACTGGGGTCTGCATGGACGACCCCCCAAGGCAAATGTGACGCATCAGCTCGTCAGGGCAAGAGATGCACAAATGACTGCCCTGGAAACTGCCCCTTGGGGAGGCACTTGGCTCCTGGTGCCCACCCTGCCCGGGGCCTGGTGCCCGACAAGCACATGTGGGAGGGGCAGAGGTGCTGGGGTGTCTTTCCTTAGAGAGGAGAACCCCTGCCCAAGTTCTCTGCGGGCCTGGTCCTGCTCCCCGCGGGTAAGGCCCCCGCGGCCCCTGGGTATCCCCCACAACCCGAGTTCAGGTGTCACATTCTTGCCCATTTTCTGACTCCCTTCTGGTCTGGGCCCTCCCTCCCTGGGCACAGGGGCACATGGGGCGCTCAGTACATTTGTGAGTGGGGAGGGGAGAAGTGGAGGGCCCAGGGGCCAGAGGGATGAACTGAGGGAGGAGGTGGAAGAAGGAGGGACTTCCTCCTCCCCTGCCCCTCAGCCCCCGGCCCCCCAGGCCCTCCCCACCGAGCAGCTCGGCCCCAGGAGGAAGCCGGCAGACAGCAGCGTCCTGACTGCCGGGAGCAGTGACTCAGCCGCCATCTGTTATTTAACGAGAAGATGACAAGCCAATTGGCGTGTCCCCCTTCTCTTTAATATGGCAAATCGAAAAATGTGACTTCCTTGATCTATATTTTAATGATTCTGACTTGCTCACTCTTACTTCTCTTAATTCAGCAGTAAATAAAGCTGTGACTTGCCCAGGAATCCCTAATGGGGGTTCTTTTGGTTTCCTTTGGGGGTTTGGTCATTTTGGGGGGGAGGGCTTGGAAGGTTTTGCCAAGTGACCCCCTTCTTGACTCTGGAAGGGCCTAGTTCATATTGGAGGGTTTGCTCTCAGAATTCCAAAGTAATAGGGCCCTGGAAACCCCGAACCCCAAGCTACCTCAGGGAGGACAGACGAAGCCTGAGGTTGCCCAGTCTAGGCAGGCTCAGCTGCTGACCGAGCCCCCCGCGCAGGTCCCTCTGCCTCTAGGCCTCACCTGCAGCAGGAAGGAGGCCTGGCTGACCCCCTGACCCCGCGGGAGCCCCTGGGTCCTGCGGCCTCCGGTCACTGGGACAGATTTTCTAGTGGTTTGGATAAGCACCCTCTTCAGGGGCCAGGTCAGGCCGTGCAGCCACCACCATCCCCTGTGTCTGCTCCACGCCTTCACCTGGGGTCTGTGGACAGGAAGGAGGCCAGCGCCTTCCTTGGAAAGCCCTGAGGAACGAACCAACCAACAGATGAGCGCATGCAGCCGTCCACGGAGGAGTTTAACCCAGCACCCGGGAACCACCCAGGGATGCCAGCTGCGCCCTTACACTTTGCTGTGCCCTGGACAGAGCCCAGCAGGTGGGGAGGGAACAAGAGCCCCCCTCTGCGCCTGCTCGCTGACCCCAGGCCTCCCGGGAGTTGGCAGTAGTTTTAAGCTCAGGAGAATATAAGTCCCAAGAGTCCCACTAGGGTCCGCTCTATTTATTGGCCATATGACCCTGGACAAGAGAGCCCTCTGAGACTCAGTTTCCCCATCGAGTCGGCAGGGCTGCAGTGCCACTCACTCACCACTGGTGGGAGGAAGCAGCCAGCTAGTGGGGGGCTAAGCGGCATAAACACCCAGGGGGTTGGGGACTGTGTCTTGAGAAGAGCGCTGGCCTCCCCTCACTGGCAACAGGTGCGCTGCCCTCCGCTGCCCACAGGGCACCAGGCTCCTGCCCCCCCAACCCCCAGGACCATGGGGTGGGGGGGACTGAGGTCTGGCCACGTGCGCTGCCTCAGTCCAAAAGCCAGGCTCACGTGACCATCGACAGTGGATTGATGAAATTAAGCACAGATGGCTACTTTGTTGTTGTTCTTTGAACTGACAGCTGCTGGTATAAAAATAAATTAAATTAAATTTCACATAAGTCAGACTTTTGGGTATTTTTTTTAAATGATCTAAGTTTTTTTGTGTTGTTGTCGTTAAATTGTTTTCTTTCTTTTTAACATACGGAGACAGAGAAAACTCCAGGCAGTAGAAACAAGAATTACAAGGAGAGTGCTCCAAGGTGACCCCGGAATTTGGAGAAAAGTCCAGCCCACTGCCCCCCACCCCTCAAAGCCTTGGGAAGTCACAGAGCTGCCAGCTAGAAGCTCCCACAACAAGAGCCACAGCTGGGACGTCGAGGCGGGGTAAGGGGTCCAGGCTGTGCAAGCAACTCACCCCGTGAACTTGGGGAAGTCATTCCCAGCCCCCCACCCCAGTTCTGCACAGGAGGGGCAGCAACAATGGCCCCTGGAGGCACCCAAGCCCTGGGTCACTCTTAGCTCATTTCTGGCTGCCTGGCCTGGAGCAAAAGTCTTTACTCCCGAGGAAGGATCAGCTCTCAGAAACCACCCACCACTGGCCTCTGCCAGCACTCAAGCCTCCCGTACCCACACCCTGGACAAAACCACAGGCATGCACCGAAGTAGGGGGCTTGGCCTGGGTCTGCAGCGGGCAGCCCTCCATCCCCCACCCTGGTCTCCAGGCCCCTCCCTGTGCTATGTTCTCCCACAGCCCACCACCTGGCCACAGCTGACAGGTGCAGAGGTGAGCATGTGGCCCAGGAAAGCCAATCAGGGCCCTTCCCTGGATTTTTCTACTGAGGAGAGAGAGAGAGAGAGAGAGAGAGAGAGAGAGAGAGAGAGAGAGAAAGAGAGAGAGAGAAACACCATCTTGCAAAGGGTGAACTATTGAGCTGGGAGGGACAGGTTTGGCGAGGGGAGAGGGCTTCCAGGCAGAAGAAAGAGTGTGAGCAGCAGTAAGGATGTGGGGAGATGGGCAAAGTGGCACATACTTGGTGAGGTGAAGGGAACAAGAGGAAATAATGCAAAGGAGGTGGGCACGGTCAGATTACAAAAGGCCTAAGCGCCATGCTAAGGGATAAACGTTCACCTGTAGTCAGCAGTTGCAGAACACGACGTGCACGCATGGGCACATGCATACCTGTAATTGACCAAATATGCCTTCCCACCAGGTGGGACATGGTTTCAGAGCTCTTCTTAAAGATTAATGCACAAGGCATGTGGAATAAAATCAGTTTGCCATCTCTATTGCCCATGATGGAGAAGCACCTACTCCCGCCCCTCCCCCAGGGGAGGCGCTGGTCAGTCTGGAGGCTCACCAGGGTACCCTGACTGCTGGAGGTGGCCAGGGAAGAGGAGAGGCCCAGTTAGGGGGCGATGGCAGTGAACCCGCGTGCCGTGGCAGGACTGCGGAGGACAGGGAGCAGAGGAGACGTCCGAGGGCTCGGCGCCCTGCTGGCGGTGAGGAAGAGGGAAGGAGCAGCTGAGAATGTCAAGTTCACACCTGGCCTTGGGGCAGGATTGGGTCTGGGCAGGTAACAGCTTGGTATAGAACCTGTGCACCCCTAGGGTGCTGCCTTCCCAAGCCAGCTCTGGGAATTGGGGCTCAGGCCCCCAGGCCCCCCTCTCTGGAGAAGAACCCAAGGCACCCAAGGGTGGGTGCAAGTCCACACAGAGGGCCCGAAGGGTGGGAAGGAGGTGAGGCCACGGGCCCCAGCAGTCACTCTCCTGAGACTCCAAAGGCAAGACCAGGGCGCTCAAGCGGCCCCTCAGTCAGCAATGCTGGCCTTGGACAAGGCCCTGCCCTCTGCTGGCCCCGATGCAGCCCACAGCGAGGGAATGGACAGCCTTTGCTCAGGTCCCACAAAGCCCCCTGTGCGTGGGGAAAGGGGTCCCGCTGAAACGTCACGCCTCCCTGCTCAGAGAGAGGTGCGCCCTGCGGGCAGGTGCGTCTGAGCCCCTTCCCCAAGGCTGACAGTGGGGGAACCAGGACACCCGTGTTTCTAGGGCAGGAAAGGGGAAGGCGCTTGAGAGAGAGAAGTGATCCCACAAATAGACCCTGCCCTGCCCGATCCCGGTGGAGCACCAGGACCAAGGGTCCCCCAGACGACGCGCACCACGGGACTGAAGCACAGGCCTCCTAACCTCGGGCAGCCGTGGCCCAGCTTCCTACAGCAGGTGGACAGGGTGGCCTGGCCGGCGAGGGCACCGCCAGGCGGGAGCCTCTGCCAGGCTCTGTCCACTGGGTGGAGAAAGATGGTGGCAAAGAGGCCTCTCGAGATGCCCAGGGCCCAGGCTGGGCCAGCTCTGGGGACGAGGAGCCCCGGCACCCTGCGGCCCAGGCACGTGTCCTGTTCCGTTAGAAAATGACAGAAGCCCATCCCCCCTCCCCCCCATGATTGCAGTCGTGCTTGGAGCAGCTCTCACTAGTTCATACAAATCAGGGACTAGAAATTGCTTTTGGAGAAAGATGACTCACGCCTGACCACCTGCTCCCGGCAGGGCGGGTCTCCAGCTCCCGGGACCGGGGGATTTCTGGGCGCTCTCCCGCACACCGCACCCTCCGCTTCCCACCGGGTGGGGCGGCTGGAAATTGCCCTGCGCTGGAAGTCGGGAGACCTGGCCCAGACCCTGGCTGCCCGGCCCAGACCCTGGCTGCCCAGCACAGCCCGGCTCTGCGGTGCTGGAGACGCCCCGCGCGTGGGCACGGGCGCCGCACCTGGCGGGGAGGCCCTGGAAAGGCACCAGGCAGCGAGGGCAGAGAGTTTTAAGTGTTACTGATTTTTCATTTAAATAGACACGTGCGGCTACCTGCTGGCAGCCCAGCTTGACATTCTGGGCCTTGTTTTCTGCTCTATAAAACAGCGTGTCCCTGCTTCCCTGGGGCTGGAGGGAGGAAATGAGGGAAATCCAGCAAGGGAGCTGCATGAGCTAACCCCGGCGAAGAAATGCACGGGGCTTTATCCAGCAGCCTCCTTACTAAGCACAGGGCACTGAGCTGGAACTCAGGGGTACAGGGCATGAACTTCAGCACAGTGGGAGACAGACTCTGAAATTCAGTCACCCCAGGAAATATTACAGTCGGGAAAGTGCAGCTAACAATGATGTGGGTTTGTGTTCCTTGAGGAGCCACTGCTCCCCTGGTTCCTGGGGGCCCCGGGGTGACATCTTGTGCAGGACCTTTTCTTGCCCACCCACAAGCCCACCCCAAAGCTTCCAAGTGGAGACCACTGGGGCCCAATTCTTAAGGTCTCTGTGTCTGCTGGGCCTTCGGGTGACTGATGGAGCATGGGCTTTTCTGACTGGCTGGTTCTGATGGCCGCACACATCCGTGCCCCAAGACTGACGAGTTAGGGCGGTTGCTTTCAGGCGCTGGTGATTTCCTTTTCCTTTTGTAGGTTCAGGAGGCAGAGGACAAAGCAGGAAGGAGACAGCATCCCTGGGTCTAGCCTTAGCTCTGCTAACTCTGCGGATCCTGGACTGAAGGAGGCATCCCCGTCTCTTGACTTGATTTCCCAGTTTATAGAAAGCAGAGGTTGTCCGCAGCGCCAGTTCGATCCCCGGCTGCTCCCCGGCCACCAGAGGAGGGTCCCACATGGCATGCAGACCTCTCCTGCCGCCCGCTGCTCCCCTCAGCAGTGTACTTCGTCAGTCTGCCTGCTCTGCTCCCCGCCCTGGCTCTGGTGAATTCTCTCACCCTCCCGCGCTTCTGACTGTACCCAGTGCTTGTATAAATAAATAAATAAATAAATAAATAAATAAATAAATAAATAAATAAATAAATCTTTAAAAAAAAAAAAAGAAAGCAGAGGTTGGACCAGGTGACCTGGACCAGGATGATGGTGATGATGATGGTGGTGGTGAAGATGGTGATGGCGGTAATAACGATGGTGATGATGATGAGGCTGATTATGACGATGATGGTGGTGGTGATAAACATCAATAGCAACTACCATCCTTGGAAAGTTCACTTGTCACCAGACACTGGCCAAATAGCTTCATTCATGTTTGGATCCCCAGCAGTGAGGTAGATGACCCTGCCGGGGCTCGCAGAGGTGACACGGCCCCACCTCACAGCGCGCTCTGGCAGCAGCCAGCGTGGCAACTGCACACCACTCTCCGGCCTGGGTCCAAGTCTGAGGCTGTCAGCCTGACCCTACCTCCAATGTCAAGTCAGTGTCCCCACCCTCCCTGCCTCAGAGGGGTCAGAGAGCCCAAGACAACAAGGGGTCCCTGGTCCCTCCCACTAAGGGAACTGAGGATCCACCGGGAGCACAGGGAGGCAGCTCCAGGCTCTTGGGGTGCACGTGGGGGCGAGGGCTGAATCCAGGGACTCACGGCCACCGCTGTGGCTGCCTGTGGTCACAGGTGCTCCCGACGGCCAGCAGCCCTGCCGGGGAGGCTGAATCACTCCCGGGCGGGCAGCGCGGGAGCCAAGGAGCAGGCCAGCCCCCAGGCCTGCAGGCCGGCGCACCGCCTCCTCAGCGGCGCGGCCAGTGAGCCTGGCAGCCGCCCGTCTTGGTAGCACCCAGAAAAGAGGATTTCAAGTAAACTAACAACAAGCATGTGTGTTTCCCCTTTGCCCATCTGTGGCAATTTCTCGAAGCACCAGCGCTTGGAGAGGCGAAGGAACAAGGCGGAAGTGGAATGGCTCTTGGAGGAGCTGGAAAAATTAGCAATTAGGAGGGAAAATTGTAATGAGAAAATGAGCCTTAATAAGGCAAACACAATACTGCGGCGGTTTTTTTCTCGCTCTCTCCACGAAAACAAGCGGTGACTTCCTGTCTGGGCTTCGCGGCCGTCCTGCCACGGCGCCAACTGGGACAGGCTGGGGAAGACGTGCCCGTTGTCCCTAGACAGCGCCTCCGCGTCCTGGGAAGAGAGGCCGCTGGCTGTGCCAGGGCGGTGGGGGGGTTGGGGCTGCCTCTTGGGGACCCCTCCTGTTCCTGGCCCCAGTGCCAGGCACAAGAGCCACCGGTCACGCGGGTGAGCCAGCGGCAGGGTGGTGCCAACCCACCGTGACTAACACACAAACC